GGGTCTCCGTCAATTCATTGGTTGATGTTCCACCAAAAGTACAGTTCGCATCACTTTGTTGCTGATTCCAGGTAAGAAATGAAAACTGAGCTTGCATGTGAGAACCAAATCGAGGCCAGTTCTCCTCATCACGGACCCGCAACCCTGCTTGCACAATGACCATTGAAAGGACTAATGAAGCCACACACGCACCCTGCCAACCAACCAAAAAATTTCAAGAAAATTTGATTTGAGTGAATACGAAGCTTACCAAGTCAACGATGGCAACATCCCCAACCAGCCCATTATTGTCAGGAAACCGGGCAACAATTACAATGATGGTCCACGAGACAAGAAATGCCGCATTTAGTGCTCCACTTCCAATTACAACTTTTGTAATGGGGAGTAAACTTCCAGTTCGTGATTGAGTAGAACCAATATTGGTTTTCATTTTTGATTCATGGCGATAAATACGAATAGCAACTAAGACTGAGGTAAATGAATATAGGGCAGGGAATAGCCAATTGTTATACTTACTTGTAGAATATAAATTACCTGCAAGACTCAACACAAATGATTCCATTGCAAAATTGTTGATCTCTCCCATTATCCTTCTGCCAAATGGAGTCATTGGTTGACAACCTGCGTATACGATTATCAAAGAAATAGCTTCGAGACATATGAATTTCACTCTCCAGAGTAGAACAGAAGAATTCACTTACTAGTACTCGCAGTTGACAACAAAATTGAAGGAATAATCAATACCCAACTTCTCCCCCACACGATCCATGCTCGGTATGTCTGTTTGGATTTTTCGAGTCAGATAAAAAAATATGCGCGATTGATCAGTACATACCACCACAATATCCCCCACCACTATCGCAAAATCATATACAGCAACTCTAGCCATATCAAGCTTATTTGTAGTTGTGGCAATCTTTGCAAGCCTTTGTTCCTCATTCAGAATCGCAAATGCTTGAAATAGGTATACACAATCGATTACAAAATGAGCCGTGGCCAGGGCAAATAAGACGACTGAAGCTATGACAAATATGATGTTTTTGGATGCTCCAGGTCTGAACAAAAGAACGTATTGTGAGGCAGTCGTAAATAGAATCACACCACCTGTAGCGCGTAGTCAGATTAGGATTAGATATATAATGATGAGGCGGGTGACATGCCAAAAAGCACTGCTTCAGCAATTAATCCCGCGAGGGCAGCAGGAACGACGGACTTTGGAAGTGAGGGAGATAGATCACTTGGCATTGTATGAGTAGGAAATGGACGGTAGAATTGGGAGGCAACACAGTGAGCGTACGCATCGCCAATTCAGGCTTTAAAGGAGCCCGATTCGCGACAATGTTGGGCTTGCCACAAAATTAAATTAATTCTAGTTGACTCGATGTGTGACCTGTACAGCAAAAATTTACTTAATGATAGTGTTGCAAACTGCTGATGAAATGACTCCAGCTCTTTGATGAACTCGGGTTGCTTTTATCAACGAGGCAAGGTAACGACATTTTGTTGGCCATGGCTGAATGACTGAAAACTGTACCTCTTGTTGTTTAATAAATGTATCGTTTTTGGCCCCTCGAATTATAGGCCTCACTTGTGGTTGCATTGTCATTTTTTCTCTTGATTTTATTCGTTTTTAGATAAAAATCAATAGTTGACCTGTGCAGATCAAATAAATTTCAAATAAGTCATAGATTAAGCGAAGCCAAGGAGCCTTTGCGCAGCTGATCAATGTCATAAACTATTGATACCTTGCAGCGATGTAGGAATTTTGAGCGTGCATTATTGAGCCGTGGAGTTTAGATTTGCAAGGTATGTATTTGCCCAATTATACTGCCAAAAAGGGCCAAAAATACTTCATATCTTTAAAATTATGGCTCCGCTTTATGATGTTGTGTTTGCCCATTGCAAAATTAAATAATTAAATATCGAAATCTCCTTTGGGCATGGATGTCAATATTCATTGTGGCCAGAGCGACCAGCGACGGCCCGTCGCCTTGTTGTTTTATTGTTTTATAAGCTCAGCGCATTGTCGGATTTGCCAACGCCGGTTTACTGCTCAAGGCCTCCTATTTGCCACGCAAAGGGATGGCCTCTTCTTTTATGACACCACAAAGCGAAGCCATAAATAAGGTATAATAAGAAGGCATAATAAGTATTGATTTGTGAACTAGTCAGACTTCAACTCGTTTTTTATAGATTTCCTTCTGGTGATGAGCATATAAATGGGATGCCGTACTTGAAGCATTAATGGAATCCGTCTCTGTTGATTCATTGGTTGATGTTCCACCGAAACTCAGACCTGCACCAGTTCGGTCCTTACTCCGGGTAAGAAATGAAATCTGAGCTTGCATCTGAGAATCTGGCTGCAGTGGAGGCCAATTCTCCTCCTCCCTAGATCGTAACCCTGCTTGGACAATGACCATTGAAAAGACTAATGCAACTACACATGCACCCTGCCGGTCCAAAAGTTTTAAAGACAATTTAATAGTGCATGGTTAATGCTGTACTTACCAAGTCAATGATGGCGACATCTCCAACAAGCCCATTATTGTTAGGAAACCGGGCAACAATTACAATGACAGTCCATGAGACAAGAAATGCTGCATTTAGTGCTCCACTTCCAATTACAACTTTTGCAATCGGAAGTAAACTCCTGCTCCGTGATTGAGTAGAACCAATGTCGTTTTTCATTCTTGATTCATGGCGATAAATACGAACAGCGACCAAAACTGAGGGAGGTGAGTATAGGATATGAAATATCCAATTGATATACTTACTTGTAGAATATAAATTACCTGCAAGACTCAACACAAATGATTCCATTGCAAAGTTATTGATCTCCCCCATTATCCTTCTGCCAAATGGAGTCATTGGTTGACAACCTGCGTATACGATTATCAAAGAAATAACTTCGAGGCATGTGAATTTCACTCTCCACAGTAGAACAGAAGAATTTGCTTACTAGTACTCGCGGTTGACAACAAAATTGAAGGAATGATCAATACCCAACTTTTCCCCCACACGATCCATGCTCGGTATGTCTGTTTTTAAATCAGATAAAAAATATGCGGAATTGGTAGGTACATACTACTACAATGTCCCCCACCACTGTCGCAAAATCATATATAGCAACTCTAGCCATATCGAGCTTATTTGTAGTTGTGGCGATCTTCGCAAGCCTCTGTGCTTCATCCAGGATTGCAAATGCTTGAAATAGGTATACGCAATCGATTACAAAATGAGCCGTGGCCAAGGCAAATAAGACGATTGAAGCTATGACAAATATGATATTCTTGGATGCTCCAGGTCTGAACAAGAGAACGTATTGTGAGGCGATCGTAAGTAGAATTACACAGCCTATCATCTGCGTCAAATAAGAGTTATAATTATGGGGTGGCGACATACCAAAAAGCACCGCTTCAGCAATTAATCCCGCGAGAGCGGCAGGAGCAACGGATTTTGGAAGTGAGGGGGATAAATCACTGGGCATTGTAGGAGTAGGAAATGACCGTGACTGTAGATTGGGAGGCAACAATGAGCATATGTATCGCCAACATACGCTTAAAAGAAGCCGGACCCACGGCAATTAAATAATGAGTCTTTGCCGCGAGTAAGTAATTCAACTCCAGTTGATGAATGACTTCATCTGAATGAATCCTGTACCTGGAAATATCCGGTAAATGATGGTAATGGTATTCCAACTGCTCGCAAGATGATGCCCCTGAAATTCTTTGATGAACTCTGAGACTGGTTGCCTTCGTCAACTAAAACAAAAGCTTCAACCTCCTGGCTTGCGGGGTTTGTCTGCTATTCGTTAAAAATAAGTGTGACCAGCTTTTTATCCCTTCCAGTTCTTGACCTCACCAGCGTCTCAACAAAAGTGTTGCCTCTGATAAAAATCACCATTTGACCTTGCGGAATAAATAGAGTATGACGGAATTGTAAATATCTGACAGGCAATTCATCACCATGAGAGCAGAGCCAAGGGACCTTTTCGCAGTTGATCAAATAGTTTTCGTTCCATTCTGGCCACAATCACCTGGATCACAAAGGCTGATTATGCCGCCTCGTCTTTGCTCAACGCTGCATGTATTGTATTTATATTGAAATCGACCACCATCTCTATTTATCTACTACTATCCTTATCGACAAGACTTCCGCGCAGATCAACATTTCGTCAGTTTGCTTGCGGCGGCTGGATAATTGCCCGCCCAAGTCCACCAGCTGGTTAGCGAAGTCAACTGATTGTCCGTTCATCCATCTTACCTGTTTACACTGGTGACCATTCATCTTTCACCCGAAATAACGAAACTTCTCTGAAAACTGTTGGAATGGAGCTGCTAGCGTTGTCTGGGCATGTCTTTGATCAGATGCTATCTCCAAAGTATGATCGATAAAAATGGAGGGGAGGCTTTCTTGTGCCGAAGCTGGTAATCAGCTTCGGACTTATATCCATCATGATATTTGGAAGATGAAAGATTAATGGCCATCATGGTGTATCACTAAAGGGCCTGAAGCCGAATTCCCGGAGGAAAAATCTTGGGCTGACATGTCTTTGATTTTATTATTAATACTACTTACCATGAAGCAATATTTTCTGAAGTTCGAGCTGTGAATCAGCATGTCGAGTTATATCACAACCCCATGCTAAATTAGAAGACTTGGTCCACTGATCTCTTCTTACTGCTTTGCTTTCCTTCTTGAATTATTCAAATCATTGTTAGGTCATTTTGAGGTGATATTTGATATTTTTTTCATCGAAGTATCATTTTAACGTTACAATCTCTTTCCCTCATTTTGATATTTTTGAAGCACTGCCAGGAGAAGTACACCATGCTTGAAGGGCATCAGCCTGACTAAAATAATCACTTACACTTCGCTACAAAATTGTAACGGAGCCCTTGGTCAACTTAGCGATTTAAAGTGCGTTTAAAAATTCCTGTCCTTTGGATTGCGTATTTGTTACTAAGAGGCCGCAAACAAAAAGAAAGTGAAACCAGAAAGGGCCTGACCGGGAATTGAACCCGGGACCTCCTCGATATAAGGACAACATCCCTAACAAGGAATCATACTACTAGACCATCAGGCCGCCCAAGAGCGAAGAGAACGGTACAATCGTGGCACGGTGGAATGTAGGCAGAACCATATCGAAACTGTGGGTTCGTAAAACATCCCCTAAGCCTAGTGCACTAGTCCACGACGTTGATGCGCGTTGACAGTTGGAAGTACGATGTGTTGGACAGACGGAACGCTCTGTTGCCTTGTGTACCTGGTCTTTGTGGAAAATGTTCCGCTACTTGCAATTCAGTAGAACAGCCCCTATCCGTTTATAGCTGCCGGCCACGTGTCAAGCTGTCAACAAGAAATACCTCCGACACGAAAGACGTTCCTATGCAGCTTCCATCAAGAATCAATGGATGAACCTGAGTGAAAGTTTGTTTCTTCCCTTCTTCTCCTTCCTTCATTCTGTTCCAGGCTGCAGCCATGCACTTGCGTCCTACAACCAAGGCGCGTTTTCGCAGTATCCTTTACCTTTTCGCCATTGGTGCCTTTCTGTTGATTTTATCTTCGAGAAAGAACTATTCTGGTTATAATTTGTACGAATTTGAAGATGCAGAAGTAGAGGAGGAGGAAGGGTTACACCCACAGACCAATACACCTCACCACCACCACACCGACACGAACACACCAACCCTTATCCCTGCTGCCGACACCAACACCGACCTCGACTTTGACCTAGACTCTTCTGAACAGTCCGAAGTCCTCGCTGCCAAGCCGGACCCTGAAAAACAACACTATGGCAAATATTGTCCTCCTCTCAAATGTTCTTACGGCCGCTGGGCACCGCGCGTTCCTCAGTTCACGACATACGAAGAAGCCTTCCAGGCTATAATATTCAACAAAAATGATCATGGATACGGTCTTCCTGACCCACACCCGCCGAGTCCGCCGTTGGAAGAGGGTGTCGAGATGTCTGAGGAGGAGAAGAAGGAAGGAGGGAAGCAGAGAGTTTTAGAAATGGCGAATTGGGTTTGGGAGTCTGATTTCGGAGACATGGTTCCTTTTGATATAGAAGAGTTTGTTATTAGATTGTTGAGGAGTCCTGGAGGATTGTTTGTTGTCGGAGGTGCGCGTTTTTTTCCCCTCTTATCCTTCAACTAGAACTGGTCTAACGCGTTATAAAGACTCTTTAACTACCCAACACTTTATGACTCTCCGTCATCGCCTCCTCCAAGCATCCTTCTTCCTTCACGAAGACCTTCCCCACTGGTCTCTTCACGACCATCCACACGTGCACCAATACGGGTTAGACACGAACCATGAAAACACTCATGCTCTACTCAGCCGAATCGCCGAACGCTATCCCGACCTTCCACCAATACCATTAGAACGTGCCAAGAGACCCATCATTACGCATATTGTCGACCAAACACTCATAAATCAGAAAGAGTTGAATAGAATATTCAGGACGGAAATGGGTTACGTTCATGGCCACAAGTATACGAATGTCGAGGGCTGGATTGGCTTTTTAGGTGAGATGACAAAGCCTAGAGAGGGAGAGGATGGAGTAAACGAAGATAGTTTGGTGGTTGTTACGAGTGGTGCTCATGTGCGTCTTTCTTTTTTTACTCTTCATTACACTAACTAATCTGTTACTTTTACAGTGGTCTCGCGCAGGTCTACACGGCTACTCCCCACATACTCTCTCCACACCCGTCATTCGCGCCCGTATCGAACACGCATACGCCGAAATGGTCAAAACCATCATCCCAGCCCTCGCTCCACTCAAACAAACAACCGTATTCTTCCGTTCGATATCACCCGGTCATCCAATGTGTATGCAGCTCACCAAACCTTTCCGGCTTGCTAATGAAGAAAAAGACGGACGGGTAACGGTAGAAGAGTGGTTTAGCCGAAAGGAAAACCAAAACCCCGATGTTGTCGAGTGGGATTGGGATTCGTTTGATACGAGGAACCTTGTTTGGAAAGAGGAGATTGCTAAATATGAAGAGGATAGGGTTTCTGATCTCTGGATTGAGGGTGATGGGGATAATAAGAAAGGAAGAGGAGCCAAGTGGGTTTATTTGGACTTTTGGGAAATGGACTTGCAGAGAGGAGATGCGCATACCTTGACAGGGGTTGGGAAGGGAAGGTGGGATTGTTTGCATTGTGAGTTTCTTGTTCCACCGTGTTTTTTTTTACAATCACTCCGTTCTATCAAACCCTCTTTTGATCCCGATGTTTTTCCACCGCACTCCATTTTTCTCGTCTTCTCTGTTATTTATACCTTTAACGCTTGCGGTCTTCTTTCATTCTCATCTTCTTCTATTTCTGTTCCGCATTCCGGATTCTATGTATACACGCATGCTTACCAACACCCTTCTTTTCTTCGATAGACGCCATGCCATATGTGCACAACCAATGGACAGATATGTTGTGGCATTACGTGGCTGTTGACTCTAAACTAAAGACTGAGCTAGAGAAGGAGAGAGGTGTAGGTATGATGAAAGAGGGGCGGTTGATAAGCTGGTAAGCTCTATTGAGGACCAAGCAGTATAGAAGAGTCTTGTCCTCAATGTGCGACGTTGTATTGTTCCTATCTTCTTTTGCATTCTTCTAGCTACATAGATCTCATCTCGTCTCATGGTACAAATGGTTCTCTTTTGATCGCACGTTGTTGATAGTTGTTCTGGATTTGGCTCTGTAATATTCTATTTTCTTTTCTGGGTCTTTTTTCCTTGGGCTTTCTTTCTTCCACAGCCGATGGTCGTAGACGTGCACAATGATACCTTACGAATAGATAGTTACGCATAATGAATAACATCGTTACACGCCGCACGGTGAATACATATGGGTGTCGGGATATTGTCATCAAGAGTGTTAAAACCTGACATCGGATTTCTCTTCTCGGTTTAGTGTCGGATAGTCGAGGAATGGTTACGCATAAGCTTGGCTGAATGCAGTAGTTTAGCAGGCAATCGAGGCTCAGACACGTTGCCGATAGTACTTGTACTAATGTCAGGGAAATCAGAATACAACTTTGAAACCAATGACAGCTTTCCAAATTGTTTGCACCAAACTAGCGTTTCATATATAAGGATTGGAGTAAACTACACTGTGTAGCTTTCCCCCAGATCAAGTAGTCAGCCAATGTCAGATTTCAATGTCGAACTTGTTATTGGAGGGCTGGTAAGATTTACTTCTTAATAATCACAAACCACTATAACCCCGTCGATCTTACAAAAAATATAGGTTATTAGCACATACTTTGGCTTCTTGGCTTGTGGAGGCATATTTTATGCTGGTGCGCTCTTGAACTGCCAGAAACATCAATTGAATGACGTTAATCTAGCTTGGAACTACTTTGTGAAATTCAAAAAGGACAAACTATGCTTCAAAATCATTGTAGCCACTTGTACTCTTTGCTGTGCTGGAGATACGGCAGCTTTAGGTGAGTCCCCTCAGAGCGGACAACATTATTGAATACTTTTGGTATCTCATTTGAATAGCCCATTGGTCATATTTCTGGGCGGTAACGCACTACGGAGGTTCGTATCTTTTACCATGTTTAAATCCATTAATGCGAGATTGAGTACTCTTGTAGATCCCGCCATCACGCGTTATATACCAAAGTGCGCGGTATCCTATCCTTTCACGAGATATCCTGTATTCAACATCACTGTGTTCTAGAGGAATGATCATTAATCTCATATTTCTGTATGCGAATCCTTTGAATTGGTAGTAATCGTCTACTGAATGTTTCCTCAGTGCCACAACTATGTTTATTGCGCAAGGAGTGTATGCTTGGCAGCTCTGGATAGTATCCCTCAGAAACAACGTATGGTTACCGATATTAACGGCTACCGCAGCTACGGGAGCATGGGGTAAATAATGCTAGTTCTTATTTCTATACTCTCTTTTCACTTGGATGATGCTGCAGTCATCGCAATGTGGATTGTATCTTTCGGGAATAGACACTTGGAGATGCAAGATTGGAAAAGTATAACGTAGGTCCCAAATACTGATTTCTTATGGAAACATATGATGTATATTCCTCTAGACCTATAACAGGTGCTTGGGTTACTTGTTATGCGTAAGTCTGTGGCAAAATCTTGTTTGGATGTTCTAGTACCTAATCCCTTCTCTCAAGTTTGATAGATCTTAGCATTTCCGCTGGTTTGATTTATTACTTGGACCTACAATTTCGAATGGAGCAAATCCATCAATACCGTAGGCGATCTGTGAAAAGGTGAGTGATCCAAGATAAGACTTTAACGTGGTGGAGCGAAAGTTGATTGGTGTAGACGTTTACAGGCTATTCTTCGGCGAACAGTTGAATGCAATATTTGGTCCTTGATCAACCAAATAGGTTTTCCCATTCTCTTTTTTAGTTTTAAAGCTGGACAGTACTACCGTAAGCAGAAAGTCTTTTCTGAAAATTATAGATGACAATTTTAGCAGTGATCTCTTCTGCTATCTCTGGCAAGGTAACTCCGTGACAATCCTCAAGATAAACTCATTTCAACTTGAATTCGTTTCATCTAGGTTTACGCATTCTCGCTAATTGCTACACGTGAGCTCCAAATTTCCGATTGTCACTATAACTACTTAATGGAGATCGTGTCTTTAGTGAATGCACGACACAATCCAGACAAAGTCCAGGAATCACACCGTATAACAGAGAGTATTCAACTCTCCCAATTGACGGGTACATTGTCTGAAGATCCATCTTCTGTTTGACTAGCCGATTAAATCTAATGACATGGTTATAGTTGTATAGACCATCTGTACAAATTCACAAAGAAATTCACTTGACCACCTGCCCCTCTTAAGCTGTGTTCAAGTCCTAAGCTAGTATGTAAAAAGGGTTAGAAGAAGAGGCCAACACTCCACGTAAGCACTAGATTTAGTAAAGTTCCGTCAATATTATGACAAATCCCACTAATCTCTCCTATTCCTTGCATCTGTTTAGGGCAACTGAAAGAGGGAGGCGACACCAGGAACTGACATGTTTATATAAGCGTACTAGTAAGCTTATGTCACTGCCAAAAGTGACCACTTTGCCAACGAACCATGAAAACACTCATG